AAGTATACTTTTTCCTTATTGGCCTGATAATGTCAGAGGGGGGAGATATTATTGCCCCATTACCCACTGTGGCATTAAAAGTTAGATCCCCATTGGGTGTTTCAGCATTAAATTCCTGTAAGGAGGTCAGGTGAGGCCTACCATTTTCTCAAGTATTGTACTGACAATTGGCTACTTGAACCAGATTTCAACCACATATACAGTTTCCAAATTTAGTAGGTTAATTGAAATAAATGCCTGACAGACAGGGTAATAAACTGCCCTCCAAGAAATTGTTAGTGGATTTTCCATTACTCAGTTATCTCTACTAAAGCTTGAGTCTGTAACGCAACAGCGAAGAGTCTCTTGTGGTCTGGATCACAACTGCGGAGTTGAGCTGGTCAGTATAAATATGGTAGTTCAGGTTTCCGTTCGGCAATATACGCTCTATATGGAGGGAGAGCGATCGCCTGAACTGTGAGGCATCATTCACCACCGTAACAAACAAAGTAATTATAAGCACGAAATAACTATTGCATTACCGCTTGCAATTAATGAAGTGCTCAACGAATGGTAACAATTTGTAGAACCATGGAAATGTACTCGGGGTACGATTAGACCCGTAGTTTTGGAATCACTCCTACAACAATCCGGTATTCTACCCGCAATGATAGATAGTGTTTGCTCATGACAGACCAATCAGTATTTATATGTGCACTTAAATAGTCACTTGCTAGAATGGCTATTGGTTGTATCTGTATTAAGACGTACTGCAACTGACATGCAACATGGAATTCAATAACGCACGGATGCACTAATAGCAGTCAATTGCAATACACTGTAACCCCAGGCTACTTGCGGTTTGTGGTTCAGAGACAGAGGGAGGATCCAGAGTCCAGGCAGCAGTAGATGGGGCCACTGTCCATGGAAGTCCTTCTTGGGATCCTGCTAGGCTCTGCTGCTGACACTGCCACGCAATCCCCGTAAGGAGCAGGGGTACCACTTGAGATGGGAGGGGTTAGATTCCTCCAGCTTCCACAACACTAGGATGCTGAGCAATTGAATTCCCCGCCGTTTTATCTGACAGCCAGACGTTAGGGGGGAGGAGCGAAGCAAAGCCAACAGCGTTACAGCGCCGGAGAGACCCGACGCCGCTGGAGTGGGCGGAGTGGAGAACGCTTGCTGGAATGCGGAAGGGTAAGTCTATTACAGTCAGTATTTAATATCTAATAAATAACTTATGTCAAATGTACATTGCATGACCTTTATGCCTCATTCACACAGGTGGCAAGGGGAGGTAGAAGGTTGATCCACCTTCTACTGCCTCCCAACTTTCAAACATGACCATTGCAGTCAATAGTACCACTTTAAACATCATATGACTATTTTCTGATATTCTCATAAAATAATTTTTCTACAGCGCGATTCATGCCCGGAACACACTGGATCGCATAAACTAAGCCTCCTGTGTTCTGGGCTGGCAAGGGGCGTGGTGGTGCCATTCATGTCAACCACAGACACGCTTCCCGTCTGCAGTGCGATCGCCCACACTAGAACGCATGGTACACAAATGCCCTGCATTCCGGGGTGGTGCGATAGCAAAAAGTAGTGCATGCTATCGCAGAAAGCAGGAAGCTATGTTTATGCCATTCAGTGTGTTCCGGTCACGAACCATGTTGGAATGCACTGGATATGGTGTGAACCGGCCCTTAAGCAATCTATTTTTTTCCTTTATTTAGAATAGTATTTTCTTTTGGGGGGATATAGTTAGTGTAGTTTAGGTGTTTTTATTTAGGAGTATATTGATAAAGCTGGTGGTCCTTTAAGGGGTGGGAACCGTGTGGCCAGGCACTCCTGTGACCACAAAGTTGTGTGCCTCTCTTCCCCACTACAATTGGAGAAGAGAGAAGGACTCTGGTCACAGCCACAGCTAATCCTTGGGCCCTACCCCCCAGCATACAAGGGAAAGCTGGAGCACTGGAGGAGTTTGCAATAGGAGGAAGCCCAGGAAGGAGAGGGGTAGGAGTGGCTGCTGTGAGGAGAGCTGCCTAAGACCCAAAAGAGCAGAGAAGGATAGTGTGCTGTGCAAGAATCCCACAGTGGAGAGAACTGCAGAGGACACGAGCCAGGAGTTCCAGGGGTTGCTGTTGTGTGCTGTGTGCAAGGAAAGAACGTTTGTGAGTGTGGGGAGTACTGCCTGGAACTACCAGGAGAGGCTGTGCTGCTATGCTGATCCAGGGGACCCCAGTGAACCCCAGGCAAACACGTGGGTTTAAAAAGAGAGCCTAGTAAGTTGTGTGATCTCTCGCCTCACCCAAAGACGTCTATGCAACATCAGTGGGGAAAGACTTTTTGGCCATCCATGCTACTGCTAAGCTTTCTAGCTGCTACTGAACTTTGCTGCTATTAGGAGAATCAGCACAGGACACTTGTTGAACGGCCTTCTGGATTACAAATACTCTCAAGTTGACAGAGAGCATGCTGAAAGTTTAATATACATTATTATTAGTATTACAGTAATACCTTGGTTTACGAGCATAATTTGTTCCGGCAGCATGCTTGTAATCCAAAGCGCTTGTATATCAAAGCAAATTTGCCCATAGGAAATAATGGAAAGTCAGATGATTCGTTCCACAACCCAAAATATTCATATAAAAGTGATTACAATACTGTACTGTAATATAATACTGTACAAAATATAAAGAAAAATAAACCAATTACCGGTACCTTCGTGGCTAGTGTGAGGGAGACAAGAGAGAGGAGGATTATTGTGCACGACGACTTTCACTATCACTAACGGAATCACTTCTATCTCTTGACTCAATGGAATCTTTTTCATTTCGTGAAACCTTAACAAGGAATCTATCCAATGTGACATTGCATTGTCGATAAACAGACTCATAGCTCGCACTGCTACAGCCTTATTCGGGTGGCGCTTTTCTACAAAATGTTGCTCTTCTTGCAAGACATTGCTTGTATATCAAGGCAACATTTTTCAGAAATGTTTGCTTGTCTTGCAAAACACTCTCAAACCAAGTTACTTGTAAACCAAGGTATTACTGTATTATCATCAATATTAACTGCTACAGCCTTATTCGGGTGGCGCTTTTCTACAAAATGTTGCTCTTCTTGCAAGACATTGCTTGTATATCAAGGCAACATTTTTCAGAAATGTTTGCTTGTCTTGCAAAACACTCTCAAACCAAGTTACTTGTAAACCAAGGTATTACTGTATTATCATCAATATTATGAAAGAGTTTAAAGTTTTTTAGTCCTAGAAGTTGAGCAGATTTATGCAGACATATACAGATGAATTATATACAGACATACAGATGAACTTTAGATGAACCCTAAGAACCTACACACTTGGCACGTGTCCAGTCTATGTAGTGGGGCTGGAATAGAAGGGTCTTAAACAACTTTGGAGACATACAGTACTGTTTGAGGAATATGAGATTAGGGCAAAACCCACCCAGCAACCTTTTTCTCAAACCTGTCCCCTCCACACTTACATGACATCGATGATTGTCCACGCCGCCGGTCCCTAAGCGTTCCTCTCTTGCCCAAACTTCCTGGTTGTGGGGGGAAGATGCAGATGGCAGAGGAGCCATAGGCGGAAACACATTTTAAGATATAAAAGTCAGTGGATGACTTAGACAGCTAGCATCTAGTCATACCAGAATTATGCTTTTTGGGTGGAATGACACTTTAAGAGCCCATCCGAATCTCTACATTTGCCAGAGGAGTAGAATGTGTTTTATCGCAAGTAAATGATGGAATACTTCAAACTGCATTGCTGTCTATGTAGGCAAAGTAAAAATGTGTACAAGAAAAGTGCATTTATAAAGGTGTATTTCCAGGGGCATTGCTTGCTTTTTTCCCACCTGATGTAGCTGGGGATGTGTGTTGGGCTGTTGTCTGATGGTGCAAAATCAGTAGGGGGTGCTGGTGGAGAGTGACGTTGTTAAGGTTCAGGCTGGGTGATGTGTAAGAGCTCTGCATCTCCCTGCCCAGCATCCTGCTGAGCTCCTGGCAACCAGTGACATCACTGGTTCCCAGGTGCTCATCGGGACACCAGCAAGAGTGTCTCAGGTTGCTGAGCGGAGAGATGTGAATGACCCTTACACATCTCCCTACCCGGCTCTTAGCAACTTGGGATGCTCTGGCAGGAAAGGGGGTGGCAGGACTCTGCAAACATTGGCGCTCTGCCTGCCGTGCCCCCCCCCCAACCCAAAGAGATGCCATCTGAAGTAACAGCCTCTAGCTGCCTCATTGTAGGGATGGCCATGTATATTCCTATAAGTTCTAAGTCTCTCCCTAACGAACAGCTACAAGTTGTCTAAATCTATTATTTACAGATTTACAGCAGCAGTGAGTCATTTCCTGTTCCACCACAAAATCAATACAGTGAATAAATGATTGAATAATATGGCCCCTTTTTAAAACAGCAGGTTGATAAAATATGCTAATGTACTAAATGGAAAATGAAACAGCCAGATCATGTGCAATCTAGCAGTCATTCAGCTCCTTTCAGCTGCCGCCAGCAAAGAGAAACATTCATTAAACAATCTACTAAATATAAGAAATATCTGCCAGTTATAACAGATTAAACTGAGTATGGAGGAAATGGAATGTAGCAATACTTACCTTGTATCTGTCTGTGCCATCAGCCTGTATTACAGGCGGCAGTAAAGGAAAACTAAGAGTAATTTGGATCCAGAAACACACTGCTCATCCAAAAGAGGGACATTTGAATCTTTCATTACAGTTTTTTTTTTTATCTTCTATATGTGAGTGGGTTTTATGGCTTTGTAGAGGAAATTAATAGTGTACTGTGGGGCTGTATTAGGAAGTATCCTAGAACCCAGAGAGAAACATTGGGTGTAAGCTGAGTATTTAAACAGAATCTATAGAAGACTCTCCTGTTGGATGCTGTTTGTGGCTCTCCGCAGTTACTCCTCCCTCTTCTTCCCATCTCCGGTGCTGATCAGTCACTATGAAAACTCATTAGCTTCCCCAGGATGGAGTCTCCGCTCCTCACACTAGGTGCTCTTCTCAGCACTATGGCAATGATCTCTAACTGGATGTCCCAGACCCTCCCCTCCCTGGCTGGGCTAAATACAACGCGTATTCCCACCAGCAACTCTCTGGTAAGTGCATGCACAGCATGACTGTCTCATCCTATACCTGAAAGCCTTTCCTGCTGCAACATCTTTGGTTTAATCATGTTTAACTCTTTCACTCCTCCCAAACAATATAGAACGTGAAACAAAACAGCACCACTGGATGTTTTGCCTTTCATCTGATGTGCTTTCAGTGTATAGACACTGTTTTGCTCTTAAAAAAATATAGGTTCAGCACTAAGTTATGCCATATTAAATGAAAGTGGTGAACAGTATTCTTTAAGGATAACTTTTTAACTTTAACGAGCGTCCTGAGGGAGCAGTTATGCCTACACTGGCTGCCGCTCTCAGAGGCAATCTAGGTCTTGGATGATTTTCTTTGATAAAGCTTATTCGGATTACTATTTTTCTAATGTTTCATAAATTTTTAGCTGTGAAAAGGTGCAGATGATGAATTATTTGCAACATATTTGGAGCTGATTCCTGTGCAAAGGGTTAATTTACGCATATGATTGCCAAATTAAAGATGGAACAGCGGCTCTGTTTTCTCAATGTGAGATTTTAAAGTAGCTTCATTAAGTATTTAACAAGGGATGTTTCAGCTGCGTATATGTTTCAGCTGTTGGGAGTGCAGTAAGAATATTTTCAAATCTCTCTAGAATAGGCAGAGGAATCTACAGTATTTTTTTTTATTATTCCATACAACCTGGTCCGCTAACAGAAGTGATTATAAACTTTAGAGAAAGTAACCCTTTCTGTGCAGGAATACTAAAAAAAGGTTAACTCTGACATTACAGCATCTCTCCATTTTCATCAGTTAATGTTTTTGCATATAGTAATCTCAATGGTCTTACACTTGGAGTGCTTTGATCTGAAGCTGGAAGTTTAAGAGTTGAAGAAACAGAAAGTTTGTTTTAAACATAACATAGATTGCTGGCACCAGTAAGGAGCTGAACATTTCCAAAGGGTCCCATAGTTTTTTCTACAGCTTATCAAGAAAAGTTTTTCATAGTAGGTGTTAATTACAGAATTGATTAGTTTACTGTCTTGCAATATAAAAATAGTGGATATAGGGAGGGAGTTTGTTGTGTAGCAACTGGTACAACAGTGGAAACCGTCATCACCAACCAGACTCTTTTAAGGCCAGCCTTTCTTAACCTTTTTACCCAGGAGGCACCCCTGACATGATTTTCAGGTCCCAGGAACTCATGCTAAAAATTATCTTACGTCCCACTTACTGTACATCAGCATGCCTAAGTAATGTCATATTTTAAACCCAGATCAGTTTTTTTATACTCCACCCGCGCTCTCTAGAATAACATTATTTTCAGTAATGATCTTGATATGAATGATAATAATAAAGAAACATAGACAGTAAAAATGGTGGTGTTCCATAACATTAGTGGTCAGTGTAGAAAGGCTTCCTTGCACTTGGTGTAGATGGGTGGTTAATTTGCCAAAGGCTGGTGTAGGCATTAGTTTTTAACAACTGTTTTTTTTTTCTTTTGGTTTAGTTGAAAAGAAATACACTAGTTAAAAATGTATGTTAATAAAGGCTGGCATAGTGGTATAGGCAAACATTTTTAACAATCTTTTTTTGCTTTTAGTATTTTTATGTTATTGTTTAGTTGTTAAACATACACTAGTTAAAAATGTATGCCGATATTAGCCTGCTTTAGAATGTAGTCAGACTCGATACCTCATGCTGGCTTCGGAGCAGTTAAGTACAACCAACTGTGATGGTCACAGTGTGCTGGAAACTGTATGCAGCCCAAGATTAATAAGGCATCTTCCATGTGATGTTTTCACATGATAGCTTTGATTTTAGATTTAATTCCAATGCATACAATATAGCAACTATTAATTACAAGGTTTAAAGTGAAGACTCTTGTGCATTGAGTAAAGCAGCTGTTGGCGGTGGCATGGACACTTTTTTAGGCCCCATACATGCTGTTCTGTGAGTGTTATGCAAGTTTTCTTTTTTTCAAAGATGCCTTTTATTAAATGTTACAAAAATTTCAGACAAAACAATACAATACAATAAAGAATATAACAAAGCGTATCTTGCTCTTCAATAGCACATAGAAATTCTACAGTAAGCATGGTTGAATGGTTGAACCATACAAGTAAATAATGACAATAGTATACAGAACCATAGTAATAAACATAGTCTCCTGGCTTATTGATCATTCTGGAATATAGCCATAAGAGGTGAGTTCGACCATGAGCCCCCTATATTATTGAATCTCTGTGGACAGTCCCTATTGGTGTAGGGGATTTGGTATAAAAGAAGGGTCAGTTGTTCAGGTGTTTCCATTCATATAAGGGGGTGGTTTGTTTCCATATAAGATGAATGAATTGATTTTTTTGGCATAAAAGTGCAATATTCGGGAAGGGAAGGGAGGTTGGAGGTCATTCACCAATCCCATTAGACAAACCTTAGGGCAACAAACATAGGGGAGACCTAAAGCAGACTCAACAAAACAATTGACTTGTACTTATAATTGGTGTATGGGAGGACAGGATCATATTGTATGAAGAAAATCTGTCTCCTGACCGCAAGCTTGTTATGCAAGTTTTCATGCGCATTTAGGGGGGCATCCCATTTATTTCTAAGAGCCCATTTATACCTGCCTTTGTTGCAGCCTTTTTGGTGATGCCTGTGCATAGCAATGAATAATCCCATATAGTTTCTCTTTAAAAACACACTCAACTGTAGCACATTAAAATAAACCAGCCACCTAGGAAAGAGTGGGTTTTCTACTTCATGCAGTAAAAAAAAATCTTTTTTTATAGCCTATTCATGACTACGCATTTTTCCCCTGATGGGTTTGCCATTGACATGAATGGAAATGCACCAAAACACATGTGAGTGTGCGTTACTGCGTAACGCAATGTACTTTGTAAACAATATCCGTGGACATTGATGTATGCTGTGATATATTGATGTACGTAATGCCATTTTCCATGCATCTTAAAACATGTGTTGATGCATTTCTATTGATTTAATTGAAAAACACAGAAATCCATGATTGGATCAGGTTACACTCACAGATTAGAGTCCCAAAACTGGTCATTGGAGGTCACTCTAGGTGGCGCTTTTGAAAGGCATCAAAGCAGTGAGTGCACACAAGATTCAGTGTCTGTGGCCACCCCCTACTTTTGATGGGACTAGCAGTGGCAGCACACTGTTGAGGAAGAAGCACGGGAGATTTGTGCTTTATCTCATGTTATTGGGAGAAAGCAGATGAGTGAAAATTCTCAAAAAAATGTAGATATCTGGCTTAGATGTACATTAAAATGCACCCAGGGGTGTTGTGTTGTCAAAAGTTAACTCGGTTTTGTTTTTTGGCTGTAGCTGTGCATTGAGGGCTCTTAGAAAGGAGCAGATAGGCCCAATAAAGGATGGAAGTGGGAAGAATTAATGGTCCAATGCCACCAGAAACACATGTAAACAATGAATGGACCCTCACTCTTTGGATTTGCAAACGGCAATAACGTTTTCAACTCGGGCAAGCGAGTGTCTTCTATCTCTTTCTGGATGTGAACTGAACCGTTTAGCTGTGCTGTGATCTCAGGTTCTCTGAAGTAACATGAAAGTGGAGATTGTTTGTGCTGGGTATTGGACACTTTGTGCTGTATTGGCTTATTTGTGAGCTTGTTAACACCTGGGCAGGCATACTATATACAAAACTTTGACACAAAAATCCCAGACTTTTGAGGCACCGACTCAAACCAAATAGTTTAATTCACATACAACTTTTACTTTTGTATTAAATACGGTATATACACCATTAGTCATTAAAACCATAAATAAAAAGACAAAGGACAGTACATCAATAAAATACCTGAGCAGGCGTATGCAGGTTTTCAACTTTGCGGTATGGCTTGTACCAGGGAATATTTTGTGTATTATAGTCAATATATTATCTTACCACTGCAAACTAGGAAGCTCATAGATTGACAACTAATACACTGGCCTTGAATGGCTCATTGTGCTGCTGGGACCCTTCATGGTTTTCTCCTAACAATTACAGTCGTGCCTTTTCTGATCCTTTGTTCTTCTGTGTAGAAGAGTGAAGGGCCGGTACCTGCTCAGAGGGAGATTTTGTTCCAAGCTGGAAAGTTTTCCTATGTAACAGCAAACACCTCTGACAGCCTAAGGTGCTTATTATAACTCCTGAGAATTTCAGAAAATGCAGTCCTTACTTAAGGCAGACCTATACTCTGTTAGCTCATGTTAACTTAAAACTAAGTTAGAAGTCTTGCTACAGTGAATAAGTAAAGAGTTGCAGAATGGCTGACATTTCCTCTTCTGGAGCAAATGTTATTCCAGAGTCCCTCCGCTGATAAACATTTGGTTAAAAGCCAAAGCTTTTGAAAATTTGATCTCTGAAGGGGAGGATCGGCTTATTTACATTCTGATCCTGTGTGGATGTGTGGAGAAAAGTTATAAAATATATCTACCTTTCACTTGGCTTGCACCTGCAGTGCCTAGGTGACGGTGGTGTCATGGTCCTTTCCAGGAAATCTGCCTATGCCAAATTTCATGGGATGACCAAGAGGACCCGGCTGCACTAGATCTTCCAAATAACTTTAGTATGTTTCATTGCCGTGCAAGTTGGCAAGTTATGGATAATGCTGTTAACTTTCAGGGAACATATGTTATTGTAATAAGGCTAACAAACCTTAAAAGGTTAGTTCACTTTTAGAAAAACATTTTGAATGCATTCCAGTGTCCCCAATGCATTAACAGAAGACTACTCAGAAGCTGTAGGTCATGCATGGTCTTTTTCATGTTTATCAGGAACAATCTTAGGTAGGCAAACTCCCCCCCTATCCCAAGAGTTGTGCGTAAAAGGAAGAGAGCACACTTAGCATGCACAGGTTTTGAATGAGCCAGATAGTTTGCTCCTGCAGTGCTAGGGGCATGCTTCCAACTGTGGGGGTCCCCTACATAGGAGTTTTTTCTGACAGATCTGGGAGAGGCTGCAAATGGTCAACATGGCCTTCAAAGGTAGCTTCTG